AAAGTAATGCGATATCATCTGTATATGTTGTAGAAATTTTCATATCTGATGGACCAAATGATTTGATAATTCGTTGTTTTATATCAATACCAAAATCAGGTGTAAAAAGAAATTCTATAGAAATTAGTTTTTTAAAGAGAAATAATTAGGTGAAAAAAAAATAAAACCTGCAAAAAGTTCAGTTGCAATAAATGTATGTTCAATTGATGAATCATTTTCTAAAAGACTTTCAATACGTTGTTTTGGTACATAATAATAACATTCCTTTTCTCTAAAGAAAATTATTTGAAAGAAAATAAACTTTAAAATATATAAAACAAAACGAACTTAATTCGAGATAAATCCATTCCATAACCTGATGTAATAAATCGTTTTACATGTGCTTTTTTTTGATGCTTCAATAAGAGATTTTTGTCCATTGAAAAGTATTTCTTGATCATGACCAGTTAAAAGACAAATAACAACATCGATTCCTTCAAGAGACTATTCAAAATGAGAAAAAGAAAATTCAATTTAAAATTTATTATATAATACTTTTTCAAGTCCAACAGGATCATCAAGTTCACCAAAAATAAGTTTCGCACCTTGTTTTTGAAAATCTTCAAAAAATTTCTTTTTTTCTTCATTCTAAATTAAAAATCTAACTCTTAATTAAAAAAAAACAAGTAGAACTTTCATTAACCTCCATTGATTTTTTCGAAACAAGAATTGATACATTAAATTCATCTTGTCTTTTAAGAAAACTACTTGTTATTTTTTTTCCAAGAAACTTTCCAGTAGCTCCAACAATAATTATATTCTTATACATGTTATCTCTAGAAAGAGAAGAATAAATGTAAGAATTACAACGTGTCGAATCTCCTGTCCACTCGATTCTGCGCATTATATTGATTTAATTTTAAAAATAAATTTAAATTTTGTTCGATTAGAAAAAGTATTTGTAATAAAAATTTCTAGTTTAGTTTCATAAACATAAACATTATGTCGAAATTTGTTTTGAAAAAGTTTTTCTAAAATCAATTGAATTTGATAATTATCATTTTGAAAATATTCTAATGGAATAACTAATTTCCAAAGATTTGATTTTGATAAACCTATTAAACTTCTCCAACCTCTTCGTGCGTATAATGGAATTGATATTTGATTATTTTTATCTAATATTAGTATTAATTTTGTATGTAAACCTCTTTCATTAAGTCCACGGTGAGAAAATTTTTCTAAAATTATATTTTCAAAATGAATATTTTTTATATTTGAATTAAATTGACCATTTGAGTAATCAAAACATATCTGTGGACCTTTTTCAAAACCAATAAATGAAATTGATTGAGATAAAAATTCATTCTCTGATATAATTACATCATTTGTTATTTGAAAATTCCATTGTTTATCATAAATATTTTTAAAATAAAATCCATAATTACCATTTGCATCTGTTCCTTGAACTCTTAATTGTCTATTATTTTGTCCCCAACCAATTTGATAAATCGAAATATTTTTCGTTAAACGAGCTTGACCTTGAATATTAATAAATGGTTGTCTAATCCAATCTTCACTTGGAAGATAACGAACAAGAGGAACATTATTATTTGGATTGTATGTTGATGCAAGTGCAGGATTTGATCCAATTGAATCAAAATCAGCAAATCTTGTATACATTTTATTAATTTCTTTACCAAATTCATTTCTTCCTCGTTGAATAAGAAATAAAGTTGATCCACTAGTTGCCATTGATTCAGCTATAAATTGTCCATCTTCAGGTGTTGTTAATTCATTTTCAAATTTATTTTGTAACCATGGATCAGCAAAAAATATTCGTGTACCATCTTCATTCAAACAATAAATTGTTGTTACACCAACATATGGATCTGGATGTTTTTTACCTTTCATATCTGTATAATACATTGTATCAGGTCCTTTATGTGACATACAAATATTTCGACTATTTTTTAATGATTTTAATATTGGATTTTTAAATAAATTAACAACAAGTGATACACCATCCATATTAAACCATTTTTGTGTCCATTTAACTCGTGATTCAATTATTTCCCATTGTGGACAATCAAATGAAACTTTACATATGATTTGATTACTTTTAGCATAATGAATTATTTGATTTTCATCAACAGCTAGAATATTATCACCATCAACACTTATTGATATTAATGGAGTTTGAAATTGATCAATAAAACCATTATCACCAAATAATTTCCATGATGAATCACAATGTGCACCAATTGGTTTAAACCAAATTTTACCATAACGAATAATATAATAAAATTTTAAATCCATTGTTGAATTTGAAGTTGATATATAGATCGGAGGAATTTCTTTTGCATCAATTTCTTCATTAGTTTTATTTTTTTTCAGCTAATTTTTTATTTTTATATTTACTTAATAGTTTTAATGGATATGTTAAAATTGCAAATAAAAATGATGTTAATCGCGGTATTAATTTTCTTTTAGCAAAAACTATTTTTTCAATAACTTTATCTTGTGATGGATCAACTGGATAAGGTCGTAAAGTTTCATAGTCATTTTCCATTCTATTTAAAATCAAATATTTTTATCTTCTTTATCAAAAACAAAAAAAAGAACCATATGGTATTTCACAATCACGAATTTTATTGCTTCATTTATACTTTCCTTTACTATACTGGTATACAGATGTCGCATAATTTCGTTTGAGGTTTTATTATAATAAGTACGATAAAATCTTTGATTTAATATTCTACTCTTATGTTTGTAATCATACTCGTTTCTGTGCATGTGTATATGAAAAGTAAAATAAAAATATTTTAATTGTCATCGATAGGGATTCAATCAATATATACCCAGAAGAATGATTAATGCACTATGAAACTTAATATGATGATTGTATCTTGAAATTAACATACAGTACAACTGTTATAATTTTTTTACATCTTCAAGTTCCTCGACGTCAAAAACCTTTGATCAACCATTTTCTAATGATTATCAGTTTAAGATAAACAGACAAACTTTTAGCAGTTCGAGCTTAGAATTTAACCGCTGTATAACCCTTTCTTTTAGTAAAGGGAAAAAATAATTGTAGACAACAAATTCTTCCACTATACTTCTGTTTTATAAAATATTCATACACTGATCTTTTCCATGAATCACGATAACAATGTGTTTCTAATTCAACTCACCCTCCGTTAGAGTGGTGAGAAACAAAAGTTTTTTTCTTGTATAGTGATATATAAAAAAAACTAACGAAAACTGTTTTTAAACTGTTGATCGACATGTTGGACACGAATTACTTCCGACCAGCCATGCTTGAATACATTTAGAATGAAAAAAATGAGTACACTGTGGTAAGCCATTGACAGTTTCACCTTTTGAATATGTGTCCATACAGATCTGAAATATTAAACAAAATATCTACAGTAAACGATGAAACTAATGGGAGTTTGGTACTTCGTTAAAGCCTTTTCCCTTTGCTATTCAAAGTAACACGAATAAATTTATTCTCTAATTGTAACGAAGTTGTAAACAAAAGTTAAGTTTATTTAAAAGAGCCTTAATCTATTTGAAGAATGCCAATTATTCTGTTATGCAGTGAGTCAAAACTATGAAAAGAGGTAGGGTGAATAACTTACAACGCATGAATGCTCCGTTTTATTGGCATGGTTTTCACTGATAGTCCATGATGGTAAATCTCGAGTTGTTGTTGTTGTTGTTGTTGAGGATGAATAAATAGTTGCTGAAGTTGATGTCGTACTACTTAGGATTGAATTTGTTGGTAAGTTCAAAACACCATTTCGACGCATTTCTTCGATTCTATTCGTGCGCTCTCGTCGATTATGAACAAAGGTACCTATGTGAGTAAATTAAAGTTTCAATTAGATTGTAAGTTCATCATTTTTAAAACATGAAACTCCTTCCAATCGTATGATTCGAAAAAATGTGAGAACCTTATATACTCACCATTAAAGTTATGCCATGCCATCATGATTCCATCGTCTGTTGGTAAACCATTTGAACCGAAAATACGTACTTCAACAACAAATTGCGTGTCTTTGGGTCTTTTACCATCACTTCGACGATTACGAATACTAACTCTCAGTTGTGAATTTGGGACTTCCCATTCATACATATGTTCATACTTATCATTATTAAAATCAGAACGAAGAATGAATTTAAAGGGTCCAACAGTATCAGGCGGTTGTGTTTCACTGTTTTTTCCATGATAATCTGTAACAAATAGAAAAACAAATATTCGGCTCGAGACTGATTGAGTTAAATGAAAATAATTGCTATCAACTAGCAAGTGTAAATTTCAAATAATTTATGAAACACTTACCAGCCATAGCTTTGCCGGCTTTTACTATATCATCACTTTTGTGTGAAATTTCAAAGAACTTTTCTGGTGTTAAAAGAAGTGATCGTTCTACACCTGATTGAATAACTTTTTTCAGCACAACTTTAATATCACCATCAACATGAGTAAAATTAATATGCGGAGCATGATCACCTGCGCCATTGTTGTTGCTGTAATGTCTTCCTCCACTATTTCTTGAATAAGGATGATAACGAGACATCTTTGTAATAAATATAAAGTAGAATTTGAACTCTCCTTAAGTGAAAACAAGTGAGAATTTGAAAAAAAACTGTCTCTCTTTTATTAACTTCGTTTTGGGAAAAAAACCCAGCTACTGTGAAAAAGAAAAGAAGAACAGGTGAAGTTGCGCACGTGGAAAGATAACGTTTAGTTTTAATTTTGTCTCGAGTAGCTTCACACCATCACCTTGACTGAGAAAAGTCAGTGGGTTATTTTCGTTTGTTTTGCGCTGGTTGCGTAATTAACTGTTTCCAAGGTTTCTATCGTTTCATATGAGACCTGTTGAGAAAGAAAGAAATATGTTGTCTAAATGTTGCAAACACACCAGAGAAAAAAGGCACTCGAAAATAAAAGGAGAAAAGAAGTCTCGCAGACGGTAGAAGTATTTGTGTTTTGGTTAAAATAAAATTCATTCTGTCAGTAATTTGAAGCGAATTTACATGCGCTCCTCTAACCAGATATTTTTTAATTCGAGAGTATTATGATTTTCTTACTATGTCCTGCAAAATTATTCATTCTCACCATCACATATATTCAGATCTATGATTTTTATACAAATATCATTTACTTTTTCTCTCAAAGAAGGTGTTCTATGAACAGTTGCAAATAAAGTTTTGATCTTGGGTTTACTTCTAAAAGTACAACTCTAAATCATGCAAAAATTTGAAGAAATATATAAAAAGAATAAATATGAATGACTGTTTTTGCTCTAGCTTAATACATTTTTAATAGAGTAAGTTAGGGTCTGAGTCCGAATATTCTATTCAAACCATACTCATCCACACCCTTCAAGATGGTCGTTTGTGTTTATAAGTTTAATATTACATAACGCAAACCTTTGTTCTTTGTACGTATTTATGTAAATAAATTATAAGATCAGAAGAAAAAAATATGCGTTTGGCAACGATAGATAAATAATGTAGATTCTCGTTGGAGTATAGTGTGAGCGTGGGTGAGATAAATAAGATACACCCACACTAACCCTCAAGATCTATTGAAGATATACAAATCTTGTATGTACTACTTCATCAATATCAACTGCGAAATCTATATAAGTCTATGAAATTAAACTTTTCAATGTCTTTGATCCTATCATTAAAAAAGTGCATCGAAACGATATCCCGTTTCCACTTATCGAAGCATTCGATGGTATATTGTTTCATTTTAAAATAATAGGTATTAATACCTACCTGTATGAAAGAAATAAAAAGAACGAACGCTTC